TGGTCACACGTGTGGTGCTGACAGGAATAGTTGTAAATGGAGTGCTTACTTCACTAGGAGTCGAGGTTGCCATACTGGTACCTTCAGGAGTTGTAGGAGATGAACTGACTCGTGTAGAAGTGGTCACAGGTGTGCTGGTGTCAACAGAAGGTGTTGAAAGGGTGCTACCCTGAGAACTGGTCACACGTGTGGTGCTGACAGGAATAGTGGTTAATGGAGTGCTTCCTTCACTAGGAGTAGAGATTGGCATGGTGGTGACTTCAGGAGTTGTAGGAGGTGAACTGACATGGGTAGAAGTAGTCACAGATGTGGTGGTGTCAATAGAAAATGTTGAAAGGGTGCTGCCCTCACAACTGGTCACACTTGTGGTGCTGACAGGAATAGTTGTTAATGGAGTGCTTCCTTCACTAGGAATGGAGGTTGGAACACTGGTACCTTCAGGAGTTGTAGCAGATGAACTGACTTGGATAGAAGTAGTCACAGGTGTGCTGGTGTCAACAGAAGATGTTGAAAGCGTGCTGCCCGCAGAACTGGCCACAGGTGTGGTGCTCAGAGGATTAGTTGTTAATGGAGTTCTTCCTTCACTAGCAGTTGAGGTGGCCATACTGGTACCTTCAGGAGTTGTAGGAGATGAACTGACGTGGGTAGAAGTGGTCACAGGTGTGCTGGTGCCAACAGAAGGAGTTGAAAACATACTTCCCAGGGAACTGGTCACAGGTGTGGTGCTGACCGGAATAGTTGTTAATGGAGTGCTTCCTTCACTAGGAGTCGAGGTTGCCATACTGGTACCTTCAGGAGTTGTAGGAGATGAACTGACTTGAGTAGAAGCAGTCACAGGTGTGCTGGTGTCAACAGAAGTTGCTGAAAGGGTGCTGCCTTCAGAACTGTTCACACGTGTAGTGCTGACAGGAATAGTTGTTAATGGAGTGCTTCCTTCACTAGGAGTCCAGGTTGCCATACTGGTACCTTCAGGAGTTGTAGGAGATGAACTGACTTGGGTAGAAGTGGTCACAGTTGTGCTGGTGTCAACAGAAGTTGCTGAAAAGGTGCTGCCCTCAGAACTGGCCACACGTGTGGTGCTGACAGGAATAGTTGTTAATGGAGTGCTTCCTTCACTAGGAATCGAGGTTGGAATACTGGTACCGTCAGGAGTTATAGCAGATGAACTGACTTGGATAGAAGTAGTCACAGGTGTGCTGGTGTCAGCAGAAGGTGTTGAAAGCGTGCTGCCCGCAGAACTGGTCACAGGTATGGTGCTCACAGGAATAGTTGTTATTGGAGTGCTTCCTTCACTAGGAGTAGATATTGGCATGGTGGTGACTTCACGAGTGGTAGGAGATGAACTGACTCGTGTAGAAGTGGTCACAGGTGTGCTGGTGTCAACAGAAGGTGTTGAAAGGGTGCTACGCTGAGAACTGGTCACACCTGTGGTGCTGACAGGAATAGTGGTTAATGGAGTGCTTCCTTCACTAGGAGTAGAGATTGGCATGGTGGTGATTTCAGGAGTTGTAGGAGATGAACTGACATGGGTAGAAGTGGTCACAGGTGTGGTGGTGTCAACAGAAAGTGTTGAAAGGGTGCTGCCCTCAGAACCGGTCACACGTGTAGTGCTGACAGGAATAGTGGTTAATGGAGTGCTTCCTTCACTAGGAGTAGAGATTGGCATGGTGGTGACTTCAGGAGTTGTAGGAGGTGAACTGACATGGGTAGAAGTAGTCACAGATGTGGTGGTGTCAATAGAAAATGTTGAAAGGGTGCTGCCCTCAGAACTGGTCACACGTGTGGTGCTGACAGGAATAGTTGTTAATGGAGTGCTTCCTTCACTAGGAGTTGAGGTGGCCATACTGGTACCTTCAGGAGTTGTAGCAGATGAACTGATGTGGGTAGAAGTGGTCACAGGTGTGCTGGTGCCAACAGAAGTTGTTGAAAGCATGCTGCCCGCAGAACTCGTGACACGTGTGGTGCTGACAGGAATAGTTGTTAATGGAGTGCTTCCTTCACTAGGAGTCGAGGTTGCCATACTGGTACCTTCAGGTGTTGTAGGAGATGAACTGACTTGGGTAGAAGTGTTCACAGGTGTGCTGGTGTCAACAGAAGTTGTTTTAAGGGTGCTGCCCTCAGAACTCGTCACACGTGTGGTGCTGACAGGAATAGTTGTTAATGGAGTGCTTCCTTCACTAGGAA